CTGCAAGTGGAATCAGGATGCTTCCTGGAGTCTTGGTCTGATTCAGCAGGGCTTTTCTTATGAGAACAATTGCTTCACAGAAAACGATGAGGGAACTGGGCTACTAAACTGCCCTGCTAAAACTTGCCATAATGTAAAATCACTACTGTTTGACACATGTTATACTTACGCACACAGACAAAACGTTTGCTACAGCAACAGCATTCCCCAAATAGCCAAAGTAACGGTGACCAAAGACAATTTGGATTCTCTGTAGAAAAGGTGACTGATAATCTGGCCTGGGAGGACGCTGAAAGGAAAGGATATGAGTCTTGTCAACATGACCTGTTGTTTCTTCAATAACACATGGCCTTGAGGAGGCATCTCTTTGGCTTAGGATATGTATCCCTGAGGCCTGCTGCAACAGCACTGTGACAGCTCCACACCTGCATGCAGCCCCTCCTTAGAGACCAAGAAGAAAAGGGTGACAGGGAAGCTATCCCTACCCAGAAATCTCTGAGTGCAACAAGATTAATTCCCTGGCACAACACAATACCCGCAGTTAATCATTTATTTGCTTAAAATGTCAAAAAAACAACAACCCAAAAATGGAACAAAAGGTCCAGTTATCAGCACTGATCATCAATCAAAGGGGTACAGTTAGTAGAAGATGATCTCGCTCAAATGACAGACTGTACAAATCTCTTGCATCGGTTATGGCATATTTACGCCAATTCAGTCAACAAAAAACCATTCTTACCACAATGAGCCAGCTCAACATTACTACTAATCAGAATCTTTAGAAGTCCTTCTCTGGGAACCTTATATAACTGGCAGAAAGGTATATTCTGAACAGTTTCATATGCATAGGGCAGCGTTTCCCAAACATGGGTCTCCAGCTGTTTTTGGACTACACATCCCATCACCCCTGACCACTGATTCTGCTGGTTAGGGATGATGGGAATTGTAGTCCATAAACAGCAGGGGACCCAAGTTTGGAAACCTCTGGCATAGGGGATCTTTGTCTTATATCTCAATTTTTAATTTTCTGCACATTTTTGGAGCAGTCAGACCCTATTCAGAAAGCAGGGATTCATATCTCACTGACCAGCTATAATATATTCTGTTCAGCTTTGCTTTCTTTTATTGGTAGGGGAGCAGCAATTTTCCAAATATGCTTTGAGATTTAGGAAACACAGGAGCCCTATGCATTCGTGAGCCATATATAGAACACTCCTGGGTAGCAGCAGGAGTGGGGCCACACATCTATTCCCATCACTGATGTTATGCCCTTGCCGTTAAACTGCCCTCAACCTTCACATATTGAGCACTGAGGTCTGAAAAGGGAATCCACTGCAGAAGAGCAGCCCACGCACAGAGGCTCTACACAAACAGGACACCCATGCCATTTGGTGTCCCAGTTGCACGGAGCTTAGATGTGTGATCAGCTGCTTGCCTGAAGGGCCCATTGAGGTAGAAACAGTGATGCACCATCAAAGGCAGGGCTTGAAGTGCAGCCCCACTCCTACTGAAGTATGGGAGTGCCCTACACTCAAGTAGACACATCATTAGAGCTGAGAGGAAACAGAAATTGAAAGGTTACTGTTCTGCAGAGAAGCAAATGCACAAAAAACAAACAAATCCCTATTCGCAACTATTCACTTTAACTTTATCCAAGCAATTCTTTATTAGAACAACTCAGTATTAACTGCAGCTCCTTCAAGAGTACTCAGACTCAAAAAAGCTAGAAAATGTGAATATGTAAATTCTACATTTTATGCCATAGGGACGCGGGTGGCGCTGTGGGTAAAACCTCAGTGCCTAGGACTTGCCGATCGTATGGTTGGCGGTTCGAATCCCCGCAGCGGCGTGAGCTCCCGTCTTTCGGTCCCAGCTCCTGCCCACCTAGCAGTTTGAAAGCACCCTTAAGTGCAAGTAGATAAATACGTACCGCTTTATAGCGGGAAGGTAAACGGCGTTTCCGTGTGCTGCGCTGGTGCTGTCTCGCCAGAGCAGCTTCGTCACGCTGGCCACGTGACCCGGAAGTGTCTCCAGACAGCACTGGCCCCGGCCTCTTAAGTGAGATGGGCGCACAGTCGGACACGACTGGCCCGTACTGGCAGGGGTACCTTTACCTTTACTTACATTTTATGCCAGGTAAAGGGAGGAAAGTTACATGCATGATTCAGATGCAACTTTCATGACTAACACATAGCACGCTTCTCAGTAAACTTGTACACCAGCCCCAAATGTATAATCAGCATTTGCCAGGCTGGTACCCTGCAGATGTTTTGGGCCACAGCTCCTATCTGCCTCAGCCACCACACCTGGAGGGAACCTGAAAAGCTGGCATAAATGAAAGCCAGGTCCATACCTCTTTAACTTTGTGTTTGTCCAGTTCATCAAAGAGTAATTGAAACTGAGCAGAGGTCAGACCTCCTGGGGGACACAACTCAAGGTTCTGCATAAACAAGAGAAACTGGAAGTTAACACACCAGTGTTGTTGTTCAATAACATTTTTTGAATAAAATCCAACTTCTTAAGTAAAAAAGGTAATTCCTACCCTAATGATTGCTTCCTTGCAGTCAGGATCCATTTTTACTCTATGAAGAACTTGAGCTAGAGTCTCTGCCTGGACACGCAAGCTACATAAACAAAGTTACAATGTGTGAGAAGGAATCATTAACTTTCTGTTCCTTGTCACTACCCACCCTATGTGTGCTTGACGCCTTTCACTCACATGTTCTTATTGAGAGAAGTCTCCTTCAGAGAACAAAGAACTTCAAAGGCAGCCCGGATTCCTAAGCGCCTTCGGAAAAGTGAGGATTGAACCGATTTCTGAAACGGGAAGAAAAAATATATCCGCCAACACATAGGAGAAAGTTACAGGCATGAAGAACATGAAGAACTAGAGAAGAGTCGCTCTGTTTTGAAAGTGTCACATGGAGCAGAACACAAATCAAAGGTGCAAGTTCAAGACAAAAGTCACTGGGGGGAAATCCATCATGAGCTCCTGGCCTTCAGAACATCTTCATTGGCTGAACTGATTTTCTCACTCTTGCAGGTGAGGTGGCCAGATAAGCATCTCCTTGGGAAATGTTTGCTCACAATTTTGGTTTATGAAACGTTAAAGAATACGATTCCACCTCCATCACACAAGACAGCTGCAATGTGTACGTAAAAATCACAACCATGTATATGTGGAAGGGAGCGAATCGTGTGGATATTCCTCACTCTGCCATCTCCCTCCTAAGGTGGCAATCACATGGGAAAGACCCTAACCACCCACTCATGTGCTTGCAGCAGCAGCCACACATACAACACAAGCACATGAGAGCCAACTGTGCCACAGCTGTATTCATCCATGCCATAGCCAAAATCTTCTACCAAAGACTCCCTAAAGCCCAGATTCCTGAAGGCTGTTGAAATACCCCAACAGCAGGAACTTCCTGCGCAGAAGCCCATGCTAGGTTTCATCATTTCAACAATATGTCATTTAGGCTTTACTCACCAGAAGATAGCCACGAAACTGATTGTATATTATTGCTGTCAGCAAGTTCATCAGAAATAAGTTCCCTTAAGAAAAGAAAAAAATATTTACTTTAAAAAAATATAGAAGCTGTGCTGTGTTTGTTCAACTGTAAACTGAACAGAGACCCATATGAATGCCCTAAGAATTTGCATCAAAACTGCAAAAAAAGCAGAATTCCCAAGGTAAGCTGGTAAAATGGGAATTTGCTAGAATCATTTTACCACAAGTATGAATGCCACATTTTAAAACCTGTTTGTTCTAGTACACTCTTTCCAAAGGAAGGAAGAAGGTACCTTGTTTTTTTTTTAAAAGACTGGCTTAAATAACTTTACGATGTATGAAAGTATAATGAATTTTAATCAGGTGTATTTTAAGTGTCAATAGTGTATGGGAGGTAATTTCTTCTGTCCCTAAATGTTATTTTATTTTCCCAGAAAAAGCCTCAACTTCGGTAGAATACAGGGGAGGATGGGGAGTATAGTTAGGGTGCTTCCAAACAGAAGCTTAATTTGCAAACTGGTTGGTTGTGTGTGTGTGTGTGTGTGTGTGTGTGTGTGAGAGAGAGAGAGAGAGAGAGAGAGAGAGATTCCTCCCCCACCGATCAAAAATGTAAATCTGAGTTAAAATGGGGAGAGGGATATTTTAATGCCAATGATGTCCTTGGATGCTGTGAGGGGAAAATGCATGAATGAGGAATACCAATCTCACAGAAGTCTGGAAACACCCTTATATAGAGACAAATAAAACAAAGGTCACACTGAATGACTTGCATAGGGATCTTATTCAAATGAAGTGGCAGCTTACCTATTACAGTGAAGAATATGAAGAAGATGGAATATGCTCTGTTCTTAGAGTAGGCAGGAATCATCACTGTACAACAATTTTTAAGAAGGTTAGAAAGTAATAATGAATATATAAAATGCTGAAAAAGAGAAGCACACACACCGCTTCTGTTGGGCCAATGAAGAAGTGCGCTCATTAAAACATATGTATACAATTATTTTTCAGATAAAGCTCAGGGTGAACCTCTACTTTTGAGGGGGGTTTTTTGCTAGAAGCCAGATTTGCACAATACTAAATGGCCAGCCCTTATGCCAGTCACAAAGCCAACTTCTTCTTCTCTCCAAACGGTGTTTAAAAAATCAAGGCAAACACCAAGGAACACCTATCAGAGAAACACGCTAGGTGTTTGAAGAGACAAAAGAAGCAGTTAGTCGGCATGAAACATGGGGGAGAGAGGCAAACTGAAAAAGGCAATCAGAATTCAATTCATACTGGGGTAGATAAGAGCTTACTCTACAGGTCAAAACCCATTATGAACTCCAATCCGTAAGTAAATAAGTTTAAAGAAAAACTGGAGTGGGGGGGGGGTCTTCTGTATTTCTATGGTAGTCAAATCAGGCCTGAGACACAGTGAAACTGAAGTAATTTGCATTCACACTCCTAGCCATATGTCTCAAAGTTTGCACCACCATGAAAAACATGAATTTGCTCAAATCTTAATTCTCTTAACAGTAGAAAGTAAGGGGGAGGGGGGAGAGAGAATACATTTAGAAAGTTATGCTTACCATCTGGATTATTTGCAGTTGTCAGCAGTACCAGCAGGGAAGTTAATGAATCTGGCAAGTTGTGAAAATATCCTTGCCATTCCTTGTCCTGCTGGGCATCCTAGTCACAGAGAGCCAAGCCATTAGCAAAGCAATGCCAAGAGTCTGCCACAGCCATTTAAGAAGCATGCACAAGTCCTGGGATCACACTGTCTGACCCAAGTGCATGATGTGATGCCAGGCACACACGCGCGCGCACACACACACACACAGCTTATCAGGCAGAATAGGACTGTGGAAGATTGGGACCACACATCACAATGTTACAATCAAACCAGTTACTTCTGACTTCAGATAGACAGGTGAGTACTTCAGAAAAATGTAATATAAAACATGATATTCATTAAATTTCCACAAGACATACAACTAGTCTCAGGTGGCACTTTTTCTACTCTACTTGCACATAACAACATCATATATGAGCATCTTCCCAAAGTGGTCTTGTCTGAACTAGTGTATGAATACTAAGATGACTAGAATTAAGCTAGAATCTCAAAAAAAAAAAAGAATATTCTTGATATAATATTGCATTTTAATATCTATATAATTCTTCAACATTTTATCATTTTTGTATCGTTATCATAAACTGGCAGATTTGCAAACTATAACCCAAGAAAACCAATGGACTTTTATTTTTCCCAATGTTGTATTTAGAAAGCAAAAACATTTTTAAAAACCTGAGGGAAGGAAGGCAGCTGGGGGGGGCACCTAGAACAGAAAATATTCAAGCAGCAAAATGGTTAAGTATCCGCTTCTGCTTGAGAACTGGAGCTGTGTTACAGAGATTTGTTCCTTACAAGCAGTCAGCTTCTAAGTGAATATGCTGGAAGAGAATTGGTACCAAATATATATTGGTACTATATACATGGGCTTGTGTGTGTTCGCACATACACACACATATACCCACAGGAATAAGACTTCTGTATTTAAATGCACAGCAAAGTTCAGCGTGCAAAGATTCAAGAAAGACACAGTGAAATGAAGACATCCGTCTTCTACACAGGCATTTATTTTTGAGTTTGTGGTGGTTTGCATGTGGTAACTATCACCTCAGTTTTTCTTAGAGGGAACAGTTTGTGGGGAAAGCTATCATGCTGGAGCGTTTCATATATGTAATTTCTCTTATATGATTGGTCATGATATGGCAAGGGGGATTACCACTTTCTCCCTTGGAAAGTGCAAAGAGCTGAGGGAGGGAACTGAAAAGGGGAAGCTGGAGGAGTGATACTCTTTCCCACTTTTTTCAGCTCTATCCGCTTTTCAGGCTAATTCTGCTGGATCCAACTTTTACAAAGATCCTCTGGGAAAGCAAAGTGTGTACACACAAGCTTTATTTCCTTCTGATAAAGGAGGGAAATAATCCAGACCTATCATAACACTATGTCTGAAACACAGAAAAGATAGCAGACATTTCAGAAAGGGGCAATACTTTTCCCCAAAAAAACTTATTACATTTGCCAACATTTCTGACAATGCTTTCAAGACAACCAAACCCTACATGAATCGTTCACGTTAGTTACCTTCGTTCGAGCAAACAGCAGCATGCCAAACATGGTAAAGAGAAACAGGTGAACAGCTAATAGCAGCATAACACTATTAGGGAGAAAGCACAAATGCCAAAATTAGTTCTTTCATTAATATATAAGAAGGATGCAAATGGAGAGATGTCAGACTACAACATTCAAATAAACCAGAATACAGCATTTTGAGGAGGAGAGGAGGAGGAGGAGGAGAGGAGGAGGAGGAGGAGGAGGAGAGGAGAGAGAAGAAGAAGAAGAAGAAGAAGAAGAAGAAGAAGAGAAGAAGAAGAAGTAGTTCCCTCTATTCAGAAATAATTTCTTTGGCTGAGGCATTAAGTTATAGCCTTTAGTCAAACACGTGGGAAGAATGAGGATAAGAATAGTACTTTTGTACTCTTCTTATGGTAATGTAGAACTTTTCCTTGATAGATCCCTCTCAACAAGTTTCCACTATACTCCAAAGACCCAAAATTCACCCTCAACTTGCAAATATTGTGCCAGAAGATTATCATCAGATGGTTTTCCTGGCTTCTCCCCACTTCCAACTGATTCCAACCAGTCATTCCTTCAGGCATTTCCAATTTCTACCCTTAGTTTGGTAGTGTGGTGACCCAAGTCATACTTTATGGTAAATATAATTAACAGTTTACTGCCATCCAGATGTTGCATGGCCTATGAAGGATGATGAGAGGTGTAGTCAAACATCTGGAGGGCCAAGGCTCCCCACCCCAGGTTTACCATGAACACAATAATCTGGGTTGTTTTCTCACTTCCCACTGGTTCATAGAAGACAAAACCATCTTCTGTCCCTGGCTTAGTGTTTATGTCTGAAGTGGGGACATGGTTTGTTTTGCTCATAACAAACCATAATCATCATTCCAAAAACAAATCAGACATGAAACGTGGGTTTTTATCCACACACTACGGGCAGGAGCAAAACATCCCAGATTGACATGTCATGGTAAACAACTGTGGTGTGCAAACTGGGCCACTATGGGGAAGTAAAGCCTACAGTATTTATTGATTTCTTATCTGCAGGCTGGAAGATAGTTTGCTCTATTACTCCTTATTACCTTTGTAATTTCTGGCAATGTCCTCTTGATGCTTTTTTAGTGTCTTTTTCATCATTGAAGAGTTCTGAAGGAGGAAGAAAGGACGGAGGATTCGCCGTATTTCTCAGACTCTAAGATTGAAGGGGATAAATTTTGCACTTGTTAATGACAAAAAAGCCAGCATCCAACCAGAGAATTAATTTGCTTTCTTAATGGCAATGTCCACATGGGCTGCTCAAGCTGAACAGTAAAATTTAGTTTTGCAAAATATAATGCAAGCACAAAAGGGAATAATTTCTTTATTTTTTTAACTGGAAGGCTGGTAACGAGACAAACAGGCAACATTTGATCACCCACATGATGTAATGACTACCAGTGTATAAATGGATGACAAGAAAGAAAAACAAGGTTTGAACAAATTAACTGGAGGCGGGGAAAACATTAACGATTAACCAAGGTGAATGCTCATTTTGGGGCCACCTCAGTGATTGTGTTCCTTGTGGAATTCCCCCATCAGAGATATCCAACAGGCGGCAACAATGCTATCATTTAAGGGCCATGCAGAAAACTTTTTGTGTTCTTTCAGGTGTTTTAATGTATTTCCTTTTTTTAACAGATTGCTGCAGAGAGTGGAATTGGTTTTGGGGTATCTTGGTTTTGGGGGGTTTTATGTAAACTGCCCTGGAAGTTCTGCTGAATTGTGGCTGAATTGTGGGCATAAAATGTTTTCAATAAATAAATAGACACTTTCCAACTTAAGACTTCATATGTTAGCTAAATGCCACTAGAAAAACTCTTTGTTGCTGTTGTTGCTAGAACAGGTTAACCTGAGAATTCTTTAGAATGCTTTGAAGTCCGACAGAGGAAGGAAAAGATGGTTTGCTTCAGCTGCACCTGTTTTCACTGATATTGACAGTGGCATACTGAACCCTCACACAGCTAGCCAAGGAGAGAAGGACCTCAGGCCTTCTCCAAGCGATCAGCTCATCAGATGCAAAGTTTATATCTTTTGCAGTCATTGAAATAATAACCTTGGCATAAAATTCTGCAGATGGAGCAAAGCACAAAACTCTTCCTCTTTAGTTCTTCATTTGGTTATCTTCATTTCCAGTGTGGGAGTTATTTCTAGTCAGCATACGTTCCAGGAAGAAAGTACAGGTACCAGAAGGGATGTTTCCAAATCATTTTAAAAAACGCAGCAAGTAGAAACACCACTGAAACAAACATACTTTCCAAAGAAAGCAAACTTCAAACACTCATACCTGGCTCAGCTGTTATAGAACTGGTGTCAACCGCATATTAGGGATGCCTTGTTCCAGCCTAGAATCTTCTGCATGCAAAGCAGAAACTCTGTCACTGAGCTATGGCCTCTCCTTGTGGGGTTTACCGGCTAGTAATTCACAGCTTGGTTATAATGGATTATTGTTTACAGTGGTTTGAAGGACATTGTGTTGCTATTATGGGCATTTTGTTGTACTGTATTTATATATTGTGAACTGCTCCAGCATCGTGTCAATGAAAAGTAGTACAGAGGTACCTCGGGTTACATATGCTTCAGGTTACAGACTCCGCTAACCCAGAAATAGTGCTTCAGGTTAAGAACTTTGCTTCAGGATGAGAACAGAAAATTGTGCTCCGGTGGCGCAGCAAGCAGCAGGAGGCCCCATTAGCTAAAGTGGTGCTTCAGGTTAAGAACAGTTTTCAGGTTAAGAACAGACCTCCAGAACGAATTAAGTACTTAACCCAAGGTACCACTGTATAGAGATATTTTAAATATAATAAAATTAAAAAGTTAAACACTACAAGGTTACCCAGTGTGCTTCAGGACTGAATGGAGATTTGAACTTTGAGTTGAAGATGCCAATATGGTATGAAGGCTAGAGTGTTAAAATGAAATGAGGGAGACCCAGATTCAAGTTCCCACTTAGATAGGAAGTGCTCTGGGTGACTCTGGGCCTAACCTACAGGGTTGTCACAGGGTTGTCATGAGGATAACATGGTGGAGGAAGAGGTTAGGAGAAGGAAGACAGGATAAAAAGGCCAATGACAACAACTTCACAGCAGAGTGGGACTTTGAGCTGTGCTTGCTCCAAGTTGTAAGTATATAAGCAGAGGATGCTCTCGGATTACAAACTCAAAAGTTTTGCAAAAGTGAAAATGTTTTTGTTGCTTGCTCAACTGTGAAGTGCTACTTGCTCAATCTGACCCTCCTTCCCTGTAGCCCCTGCCTCAGTGACATACACACATATAATCCTTACCTCACCACAGGAAGAGCTCAGCGAAACAGTCCAGTCTGCAAGGGAGACTACTAGCACCACGATATATGCCATCAACCACTTGGTTTTCCGAAACTCTTCCCATCCTATTAAGTAACTCTGATGAAGCAATACAATACATGTTTAAACAGTCGTTAGATCATTGTAACATTTTCTTTTGCAGAAAGATTTACAAAACTAAAGTGCGACTAATTTTGATATACTCTTTCTAAAAACGGCTGGACCAGTCATCGTGAAAATGAAGCCTTCACCGATGGGGAGGCTTTTCAAAAGAACCATTTCCTAATTTTCCCACTTCTGAAGCATAGAGCCCAGAATCATGTTGGAATTCATTGGTTATTCCATATATTCCACATAGGGAAGTGTGGGCAATTCAAATGCACCTCATGAACCGGGAGATTTTCTAAGTGGAATTAAATGTGTCATCGCTCACCTTTACAGAGACATCTGCTATAAAGACAAGGAAGCAAAGCAGTTCAATGCTCTCCGTCAAGCCACAAGGAGGCTCCCAGGGTTTCAAGCGGTATCGTATGTCCGACGTGACAGTAAATGAAGAAGGCGTTTCGATGAAAGCAAGAGCCAGGATTAGTGTAATGGTGGCAATCAAAATCCTTTAAGAGCAAAGGAAGATCAATGTGATTACTGAATGAAAAACATATCCTCCTAAAAGCTACTTGGCCAAAAAGAACTGTGCAAGATACAGCCATACAATCGCTTAATATCAGGAGCAGTCAAAAGGCATAGTATATGGGACTGAGCCTAACTGGACAACTGAAAGCCTTTTTATAGCACGATGATGTGCGATTGTTACCTCCCTGCAAAGTGATAGTACAGCAGAAAGAGATCAAGCCCTTCATTCCAATTTCTTTGGACCGAAAGCCGGCCAAGCCATTCAGGCATCACCTAGTACATTCAGTGACATGCTTTTAGTTCAGAAATCCAAAAACAAATAAAAATGGCTTCAGCTCACAGGATCAGCTCAGACAGGCTTTTGCTCCACATCCAAGTAGTGCTAACTGTTCTCTAAACAAGGACCAGAGGGGCATACGAATGATGAGAGCAAAAAATTCAGCCAGCTGCAGCACCATTTCTTTTCCAGCTATTGCTGCCAGTTATACCTGCAATTGCTTGGTTCACATGTTACACTGTTAGGCGAATGCATATCTTAGGTTGGTAAGGATAGCTTGCCCTTGGAAGAGGGTGAAAGTTTTGTGTGGACTGATACATGATGAAGCGACTGTATCTACAACAGTGTGAATAGCTGATACGATGACTATTAATAGTAAGACCATTTTTAAAAAATTAGTTTTTATTTGAGGATTTTTCTGTTACAAAACAAACTAACAGGGGAAAGTACATATAGTGTCTCTACTTTAGAATCTTTTTCACAGTTCATTTATATTCAGCATGAGACACTATTGTCAGAGACACCGTGAAGCTGGGGGAAAGAGGGGAGAGAGGGAGGGAGAGGGTGGGATAATGAACTTTTATTCTATTGCATAGTGTTTGTGCAGGGTTTTTGGGTCAGCATCACCTAAGTAGATGTTTTATTTATATATGGGTTCATTTTTATTGGCATTGCTAGAGATTGGGATGGAGATGTTCCAGAGCTTGGTTGGTTGTGGTTGGTTGATTGCAGCATGGTTTGTTTACATGCGTTAAGAGGGGTGAATGTTGGGTCTTATTAGCCATATTGATTTGTATGCTGGGGGGGGGGGTTGGGGGGGATAGGCAACCACCCTACTAGAAAAGTTAACCAACAAACTTAAACTAGCACAGGGACAATCAAAGGAGGACACCTTCACCCCAGTGTGGCTCCCCTTTATCAAATATACAACGCAACAAGACAATGACCTAATGGTAGTACCATTGTTACTGCTGCAGTGCTCACAGAGAGGCCTTTAAAAACGTAGCTGACAAAACCAAGCCCTTTTTTGCAATAGCGAACACTGCAGATCAGGCATGGGGAATCTCTGGCCCTCCAAATGTTGCTGAACCACAATTCCCATCAACACCAGCAAGCGCTGCCAATGGCAACAGTTGGTGGAAGTTGTGGTTCAGCAACATCTGGAGGGCCAAAGATACCCCACACCTGCTATAGATACCACACATATTTCAGTGATATTCCTCACTTTCAAGCCATGAGGATTTAAATGATCACCGACACATTTTGGCATTCCTGCCATTTGCAACTAAGCTTGTAAGAATCTGGAAATGTGACATTTTCCTAGCTTAGGAGATGAAGGTTGGCAAAGTCGGGAACTGGTGCTGAACTATGACAGGTTATTTTCAGTAGCAACCCATGACCTATGGAACGCCCTTGGGGAGGGTGTCATTGGCCTACGTTATTAATGTTTAGGCAGGATTTTAAAGCATTCCTGTTCGCTCACACATTTGGTGGCTGAAAAATACATTCTGGCAGCTTTCAAATGATTACTTGTGAGGATATTTGGCTTGTTTCTAAACAAGTAAATTTGTTTTGTTGTTTGGCACTCTGGGGTACTTTGGGAAGAAGGGCAGAAATAAAGGATGGTTAATAACATGGAATGTATCACAACTTAAAACAGGGTAGAGGGTATCTGCATTTATTTTTGTAATCCTGGGAATTTTTCTTAAGGATTTCTTTTTAAAAATGAATTGACAATATGACAACACTCGCAACCTGTGAACAGAATGCTTACAGATGCAGACTTTGCTTGGATAAATATGATAATATTTATGCAAAATGTAGTAGGCTATTAACATTTACATACTGTAAGTATTAAGGATAATAACACAATATCAATTTATATAAGAATATATGGAAATATATTTCATTTTTGCATATCTGTCTATCTATCTATTCTTTTCATATGTGTCTTTGTTGTTATTTTCCCCCTTACTTTCCTTTCTTTTTTTTCTGTTTCACTTTATTTCTTTTAATTGAAATAACTTCCAAAAAAATATAAATAACCAAAAAAAGAAAAAGGAAGAAATAAGAAATGTAGGTGGTATTCACTTAAACAGGATTAACACCAGCACAATGGGTTTGCCCCCTCTTCCCCACGCTATCCCCAAAGCTACTCTGGAGGGTTGGGGGATCCCCCAGAACAGATGCAGGGGGGCACAGAGGAGGAGCACATTCTACTTAACATTATGTTGAATTCAACCCGTGGGTTGAAATCCTATGTATACTTTCCCAGGAGTAAGTTCTCTTGAACGCAGTGGGTTGTATTTCTGAGTAGACATGCATAGGATTGTGCTGTTGGGTCTTAACTATTCAACCATTTCTGGTTTCCCATACCTCTGCTTTCATCCAGTGGGGTGTTATGCTATCACAAGAGCAGGCAAAAGTGCAAATTCCGTTTCATCTTAAACGGAATTTTAAAATGTGGCTGAAACACTCTAATAAGGCCTCTGACTAAAGGTTGGTGGGGAACAGCCGCTGTGGAGTGCTGCTACACTCACATTCTGTCTGTGAGGTTTTCCACAGGCATCTGGTTGGACAGGGGCAACTTTATATCTGTGATGACCAGCAATATTTGTAGCAATGTCACATTGTTTAGCAAAAGGTCTCTTTCTCCAGCCTACCAACTTGGGAGTGCTGGAGAGAGGCATCATGGTTATTGCTGCAAAATGAAAGTGGCCAACGTAGCTGCTGACTTGCAGAAGCCAGATAGGAAATCCCAAGAGGGATAGTTAGGAAAATACAAAAATGCCTTGGATTGACAGAGGAACCAAGGATTTGTAGAGTCAGAGAGTGACAGAGGCTCTAAGCATCAGAGATAAGCAAGAGAAAAGAGCCCAGTTTCTCACCATTGGCAAACTTCTGAGTAATACCGCCGATAAAGCCACAAGGAGTAAGAATCCACACGGTGATTTATGGAACGATACTAGAGAGATGAAAGGAAAGATTGATCACTCAGGCATCACAATTGCTCTGTTATTCAAAGTCAAGCCATATCAATTTATACAGGCATGCACTATTCAAGGCAACATCCACTAACCTTTAAACAAGCTGATTTCCCAACACGGAATGGCTCTTACAAGTGTCATGAGCAATAATTATGCAATCCCGGTTGTCCAAAGAGATGAAAACACAAATATGCAGAAATCAAGCTTCCCTAAAATTATTTAGGGCAGTCTCTTACTGCACAGCTGGTAAGACCGGACTGCTGAGCCTAACATTAATTTAACTGTGTGCCACAAACTGGCAGCTCACCAGGAAAACAGAATACTCAAGTCCTATGCAATAGTTTATTTTGCTGGGCACTAATCAGTTATCTCCACTTTGGCCATAGCCTGGCAGATGAGAAATTTACCTGAATTGCATCTTCAATGAACACTACTGCTTGGTTCAAGTAGGGATTTTGGTCATCGGCAACTGCAAAGATACAACAGTCATTTCTGTGATCCCAACAAAGCTAATACCTAGTTTCATTAATCATGAAGATCCCACACAAAGTGTTGGTATTGCTTAATTTAGCCTTTTGGCTGCTGAGGCTGTCAGACTACTCAAGCATCTTTTCAGTGAATACAATAGGAGAAGGAAGGAGGAAAGGAAGCTGAGAGCCTTTCTACCATCAGGATTAAGACAAGGCTCTGTGTATTAATACAAGCACTGGATTTTAGGTTATCTAAACCAATATCACAGCAGTAATGACGTGAACATTCATGTGTTAGCCTTATACCTATCTCTGCTGTGCTGAGCTTGCATATATTAGGAAGGAAGACTGAAGATGCCACCAGTGCCAAATTTGTGCTAAAACAAACAAACAAAAATCGAGGAGAAATCTGTAATGTTCCCCTTAAAGCAGAGATGGAGAACCTTCAGCCTTTGGGCAAATCATGGTCCAGCAGGGGTTCCAATATGGCACATGAGACCATTTTTCTTAAACCATGGCCACCTGACAATTTGGTAACATCATCCTAATGGGTGGGTGAAATCGCCTTAATGGCAGGACACCATACTGCTTCATTAGTTTCCTTTAGAAATGGTCCAGAGTTTATTGCTAATGTGCCCAAAAAGTCCTCTTTTTCTAAAGAGCCAGAATCCTATATAGTCATATTTCAGGAACCTTGGCATCAAGAAAAAAAGTATTTTTGAATTACTGGCTAATCTTCAGCTTTTTTGTGTGGTTGAACCTTCAAAAACTAATGTTGATTGAGTGGTCCGGAAGGAATATGAGGGGCCACTCACAATTACCCCTTTGATCATGATTTCAGTCATTTTGGACAGTTTCCTGGTTAACAGGATGCGACAAGAATGTTCTGGCTCCCACCTATTTCCTTTCTGATTTCCAGCTGCGATCACATCTACATGCTAAAGCATGTCCAGTGAGAAATTCCATGTGCAGCGCAATGCTCTGCATATTTGCTCTGAAGTAATTCTCACTGTGCTCCTCAGAGCTTCCTCCCTAATATGTCTTCTTAGGCTTGCAACCTAAGACACTCTTGATTTACTTCAAAACTGCCTCATACATGAGGTAATTTTCACATTGTTTACCGCTTCCCTCTTGTTTAAGATGAAAGAGTTTAACTCAAGGAAACAGCAGCAATTGTAAATAGAGGGTTGCAGCAGATTACCCCTCATTTAGTGCTGTCCTTACTTTCACTCTCCTCCACCGAGGGCATGCAGGCAAGTAAATTAGCAGAGGGAGTACTGACAAATCAGCATGGTGAAAGCAATTACAGGAAAGCAGCAACAAGCCATTCCTGTAACAAGCAAGTCTGAGACTTTTGGATACAAAGTTGCACCCAAAATAGGCAGTGAGCCAACAAGCAAGATCACATATCAGGCTCTATGGGATAAGAAGCTCTAGAAGCAAACATGCATGTTAAGAGAAGAGCTGTGCTCTTGCATCACTCCTATCCATTGTAATGAAGCTTGTGAAGAAGTTCTTGGTGGACTGGGGTCCAAATCCTAAAAGTGGACACCAGGGAATGCAACAGAAGCACTCAAGAGACAAGTGTATATTTATGCATTGCCCTTCTAAAGCCAGAATAGCTCAGGAGAAGGAACCTCCATCCCAGACATAGCCAACATGGTACCCTTCAGATGTTTTGGACTGCAAATTGCATCATCAATGGTCAATGGTTAGGGATAATGGAAGTTGTGATCCACATCTGCAAGGCGCATTGACTTCCCATGTTCTAGCTCCTTGTCTGCAGGAGATAAAAATTTGGAACATACTGCAAAGCTCACAGCAGGCTGCCCAGCTCAGATACCCAGTGAGCTTCCCTTTCTTCCAGTTTTGCAACTGAAGTGACAGCTGTATATAGAAGGAAACAAATGCCAATGCTGCCATGATGGGTCTTGACCCTATGCTGCTTTGCACAGGCTGCCCAACATTTTAAAAAGCACCATTTGCAAGTTAATCTATTCAATTAATATTTTTTAAAGGAAACGTTTTAAAGTGCAAAATTGCCCTGAAGATGGAAAAAGAGGAAATTGGGGGCTAGACTATGGCCATCAGTCAATCAGTCTTGTGCAAACAAACTTCTGCTGCAAACTTGCAGAACTACTCCCACCACCACACAAAGTTCCACATTAGAAGGAATGGTGCATCTGAACTGAACACAGTGATGTACCTTCAGTGTCGAAGGTGGTATGCTTCCAGTGTTAGAAACTGGGATAGAAAAGCTAGGAGCCAAATGACTCCTGGTACCTGAGTTGTGGGCGCCAAAACAGAATGTCTAGTCACCGGGGGGGGGGGGGAGTTGGCAACACTTTTTATTTATTACTTTGATAATATGCAATTCACATAAGTGACACATTGTTAATACTAGATTTTTAACATAAATTGTTAATACATGTTTAATTTGGTGTTTAAAAAAAATTGGTACCATACTTCTGTTTTCAAAACACTCTACTCTTTATTGTTAAACTCCTTAACATATTGTCTATCCTTAACATACACTACGAAGCTTCAAAGAACGTATATTTCAGTAATCCTTGAGTGTCAGCCAGGTGCAAAAAATGGCACCCAGGCTTTCGGAGGTGCTCGTAAATGGAGAATCTTTAGGTGCAAAATGCACCTGGCACCCTGCTAATTTCGAACCCTGTATGCCTCTGAATACTAATCACTGGGGATGTATATAGAGAGAGTGCTGCTGCACTCATGCCCTTCTAGCGGATTTCCTGTAGGCATTTTGTTGGCCACTGATGCTAGACTAGATGGACCTTTGGCATGATCCAGCAAGGGCTCTCTGTATGTTCTTAGATGCTTCAAACGCAGCCACCCTGTTCTAAAAATGTTGTGCCCTTCTCTTAAGCCAAGTATTCACATTGTCCAGGAAAGTATGAACAAATGATTTCCAAATGTTATTGTGGGTGGAACTTGGGTGTGCCCTAGAGATTATAGGGAGAGTGACTTCTCAACTGAATGACTGAATGACTAATCACCAACACAGATGAATCGTCTGTTAAAAACTTGGATGTAAATGGTGCCAGTCACTACGCTGACATTTATCTTAGCACTGTGCATCTATAGTACTTTATAGAGTTCAAATAATTCAGGGAAAAGGCACAAAAGTCTGAGCTAGACTTAGCCATTGCAAATGCAAATGACAGATGGGAGTGCATGGAATCCTTGCTGAAACAATATGTAAACATGTTCTATGAAAATTGATTGCTTTCCTACTGTTATGTGAACTGTGGAGTTACTGTTCTGTATTTATTGGGAGGGTATCACTTCACAGCCCAGTATCCCTGGGGATGTGGCAGTGGACCTGCAACATTCTAGGCCATGGAATCGTTTGTACGATTTAACATGGATGGATTAGTAAATGGCTCTGTAATCCAGAAATGCAGACAGTCAATTAGCAGATCTGCTGTACCACTTCCATCACAGAAGTTGACACAAGGCACAAGAAGTATGCATCCAATGTTGATGTTTCATTGTACCATCTAAAGTACAGGCTCTATAGGTATTGTCCTACATGCTGTAAATGTAATTTTCTCTCTCTCTGCTCTTTCTCGCAACTCCAGCCTACCCAGCAATATTTAAGCAGGCAAAGAAGTAAAACAGAAGGAATGCTGCCACACCTACCTAGCAGAGACCGTCATAAACAGGAGGCTAAGGTTACAGCACAGCAAACGGTGGGGCAAAAGCCTGTAACGGCGATTAATTTCTAATCCTGAGAAAGTTGCATTTGCTGCTCTGAAAATGCCTCACGATATCTCTGAGGTGCTGGTAGCGGACCTTGAGTCCTCCTGTCTGCACATGTTCAGGGGCACTTTAGAACCCATGCAGGCCTTACTGACCAAGGGCGCCCATTTTCAGTGCAAGGGCTCCCTGAGCAGGAACAAACTACTCTGTTGTGAAAGCTACGGTGATCCCACACCTACTTACCGGGGAGAGGAAACCCTATTGAGAGCAAGCATGCAGAGATGGATGTAATGATGGAATGATGAATGGCTTAGTTTTTGTAAAAGATGCAGGGATTTACGATATGCAAAATGAGCCATGGAAAGAGAAGAAGGAAAGTCACTGGTATTTTAAGGGTGATTAAATGGGTATTTTAAATGGGAAAACGAGAAAATTGAATAAAAATGAGAGAGAGAGAGAGAGAGAGAGAGCGCATGCGGAGGCTTGTGCTGCAGGAGCCTCACCCCCCCCCCCGTCCAATCAGCCCCCTGCAGGTGAGGATGAAGGGACAGCTCTCGGGCATCCCAGGATGCAACTTCGAGGTTGGCTCAAGCCCGGGCACCTCCAGGGTCAGAACTCGAGCCCTGCAGTGGACGCGCTCTTGCCCCACCAGCCCGGCCCGGCCCGCGTCCCTGGCTTCAGGATCCAGCAGTCGATTCCCCACCGACGTCGACGCCCCCCTGGGCTCACCGTTCCCGCCCGGGGGAGACCGGGAGGCCTCGGAGCCGCCGCCGTCTCCTCCGTCGCCCGGGGCGGCGCTGTCCCCGCCCGAGTAGAGGCGCCGCAGCCCTCGGGGGCCGCCGGGAGCCGCCGTCGGCGGCGCCGCCGCCGCCAGCAGAGGCTCTCTTTCGGGGTTGCCTGCCTCCTCCATGGCGAGCGGAAGCGGCTCCCAAAGCTGGAGGAGGCGGAGGCAGCCGGGCCAGCCGAGGGGGCGGGACTCTGGCGCGGAGCCCGGGGCGCTCCGTCCGCGCCGCGCGGGGGGAGGAGCCGCTTTCCCCACAGGGTGGGCTGTCGCCTCAGTGCCGCTCCGGCTGTGGCGCCCAATAGTCAGGGGCGGGGCGGGGCTTCTCCGCGGGGGGAGGGAGAGAAGGGGCAGTTCGCGCGGTTCGCCCGCTTCGCAGCGCTGCTGAGCCGCGGGCGCTCCTCTACAGCCGTCGAACTCCCGTGCGATTCTGGTCTTGCTGAGAGGCGGGCTAAAGGGCCAGACCCGCGGGAGCTTCCCTGATCCGAAGAATCTTCGGTCGATAGAGCATGTGGATCTTAATCTCAGGGTTGCGGGTTCAAGCCCCACGTTGGGCAAATAAAGAGCCCTGCATTGCAGGGGGTTGGCCTAGATGACCCTCGCGGTCCCTTCCAACTCTACCGTTCTATTCTGCGATTCAAAAAGAGGAGCTCCGGAGCTCAGGCCTGCGTTAAAAAGCGGGTGCAATTTCCCAGATGCTTCCAGGAGGGCTGTGCTGGGAGGTGCTTTCTGTTCATGCTCAGAGGAACTCTCATCGTGTGACCAAAGGCAGAAAGCAGATTCGTTTTGAAGTCCCGCACAGCTGTATACCCCCACCCAGTCAGTGGCGAATTCAACGGGGGGGGGGGTTAACCTCCGTATAGGTATCTGCTCCATCCTATAATGCAGGTACTCACCCACTCATCCGCCGCCCGACTTAACTCAATAGGGTAGATATCATTGCCGCAGCGATGTGCTGCCCCAGCCACGCATTAACAGCAGCGCCATCCCCAAACCTGTCTGCAGTAGTAAATCCCACTGTGTTCATTGGGACTTACCCCTTTGTGCATGTGTCTGGGATTGCAGTTCTAGGAGCGCTTTCTTGGGAGTAAGCAAGCCCCATTGAACACTCTAGGACTTACTACTCTGAGCAAGCATGCATAGGATTGCGCTGCTAGAGGAGCAACTGTATACTAAATGGGAGTGAATAGGGACGAGTTATGTGCTCATTAGTTGTGTCTCTGAGCAGGTCTACACCATGCATGTCAAGCACATGACTCCCCCCCCCCAAGACCCCTGAGAACTGGTTGGTTTAGGGGTGTTGGAAATGGTAGCTCTGGGAGGGTTCCTCAGGGGAAGATGCGCTCTAAACACACACTGGATGGAATTCATGTGTGTGTAACTGGAGAAGTTTGCTGCTGATTTATTACTGAAGGTCGTATCAGTTAGTAACTTTTCCATTAATTTAATTTTAGCAACAATGTATTTCATTTTCACACATGTCACCCTTAGTGGGCATTAAATTGTGGTGGTTTCCCAGAAGGAAACTTTACCAAACTCTCTAAGGCTATGGGAGAATGAATTACCGGTAGTTTAAATTCCACACATTATCCCTTTTACTGCTGTTTTCTCGAGAATGCTCGGCCCAGTATATTTCTGTTGAAATTTCCTGTCAAAGGTATGGGAGCCCTGGCAATCATTTCTCACTGATCACACTTGTCCTCGCATGCAAAGTGGTTTTGTTCAACATTATTATATAGGATTTTAATTAATTAGAAAGCTTCCTTCTTTCAAAATGGATCATTTTTGGCTGTCAGTGAATCAGTGAGTAGTTTTTCCATGTTCAGCTTTTCAGGTTTGTTCAGCTGCCAGCATTTTCGTTGCCTAAGCTTTTAGGATGATAAAAGCATTCCATTCACGAAGGTGAACTCATCCAAATAAAGATGATCTCATTCAGATTTTTATCCTATGTCCACAGATACAATTCTATATGCCAGCCTTTTTTTGTTGCTGTTGCTTATGCTGGGCAACATTGTAAAGCATTACTATGCAGTTACCTCCTACAAGGGTATCTAGCCAGCATAAGGAGAACAAATTCTCCAGGCCATAGAAGTCAGCAACAAAAAGATAAAAATTCGGTTTAATGCATAGATCAGGCAAAAGGTGTAAAAACACAAATGAAAGGAAAAACAGCAAAATGTTATATGGCCACAGTAGAAAAAATAGAACAGATTTTTACTTAATTTTTACGTAACCAGCATCATGGTGCCCACAAACAAATGAGCATTAAACCACACAATCTGTCACACATTTCCATGTTTTTAGCACGTTAATAAAGGTGGTCAAACTAACTCAGACAAAAGGGTCCAACCTGGAGTATTTTGATGATCTGTGTATGTTCCCACTATTGAAACTATATTTTTGAAGTGTCAGGAACCAATGATAATTATAATTTGCAAGCTAATATTTCTGAATGATATATGTCCATACTTTATTTTCAACTGGTTCAAACTCTACTATCCCATTTTTCTTTTCACCATACTGTTTCCCACTGTCTATTAATAAATTACCATGACAGAAAACCTGGCACACCTCTTTGACGCATAACTCAAAGTGAAAATGCTACTATGTCTATATCCATCACCCTTGCATAGAAAATGTTGACTCTGGGTTGTATCCAAATAAGCCCTACTCAGTGCAGACATAATGAAATTGAAATTAAGGGGCCTAATTTAGTCATATCAATTAATTTAATGAGTCGACTCAGAGTAAGGCTATTTGGATACAACCCTCTGTCTTAAACAGTTTATCCCTCATCTAAGTAGAATGCTGATTCCATAAGAAATGGAACTTTGAAAAGAATGGAACTGCAATATTAAATAATTTAAAAGGAATTGGTAAAACAACTTTTGCAATAAGAAAAATGAATAGCTTCATTATAAAATTAGCATTAAGCACCTGGTTGGAGCAGAGTGATGAGCTCTTTGCCTCTTATCCGTCTAGGAAGTTGGAAACATGATCCATTTTGCAGGGATCTTTTGAAAATTAGTGGAACAAATATGGTAAAGCACATGTTACCACAAATTTTAAATAATAATGCTCCCAAGAGGTAGGATTTTAAAAAATAATTGTGAGAGGCTAAACAATCTGGTAATATATCTTAATTCCTATATTGCCAAAGTGAGATCTTGTGTGACCTTTAGCTAACAATATTTTAATATCAAACTAGGAAAGCCTCATTTTTCTTTCTAGACATCTGTTATCATTGAGATCCAAATTAGTTTAAGTAACTATAAATGATAAATGATATTTAAATCTGATCTAACAGAAAAGCAAAATGGACCCATTCACCGAAACAAATAAGGACCATTAATTTCAAATGTGTCAGGCTAGTATTTCTTACCACTGTAATAAAATTTGAGTAAGTTTAAGCCTGTACATGGTGAGAAACTCTTAGGTTTTCCTTTCTGGCATTTTAAATTCATTTTTTTCTTATATAATAGCCAAAATCCCATTAGTAATTAGGCCTATAGTGATTTTATTCCATGCAATAATCATAGTTTGGCTATTGGTTTATAAATGATGACATCATTGTTCCCATGATAACTTCCACAATAATTAGGAGTTTTAAAAAAAGTTTACTGCTGGACATGGGTTATATTGTGGGAGTTAGTACTGGAGTTTTCTTCGTTCATTATGAAATAAGTTATAATGAGAAGTTACTGAGGAAGAGTTCAGCTACAGGTCAGATTAGGTAATGATTTTTATTTTTTTTAACCCACACAAGAGTAAAAATACTCTTACACTGGTGGCCTGATAACCAGTCCAGATTTCATCAATGAGAAGTGGTTCTCTTGATAGTTGGGGATCTCTGCCCGGTGTTTAGAATGTAATCTGACTTTGAAAGGTAACAATGTTCAGTTACTGAGAGGGGACAGAGTACGGTTTTGAAGCAATCACAAGAGGTAAAGAGAGCTTGGAGTTTGGTGAAGTCAGAATCTGATGCAAGATTTAGCGGCTGTGCTGTCAGCTGCTAGAGTACCTGTTTGCTTCAAATATGCACAGCTTGTACATTTAAAAATGAATATTACAAAGACACTACCAAGTAGTGTCAACCCTGAAACTCTTGTAACTTTGGGGAACGCAGGTTATTTAATGTTTAATTATTTGATATTTTAAGGAACAGCTTTTCTGATGTAAACTAGATCTTGGCTTTTTTTTACATTTTGGTAACCAGATGATCTACAGGATGTTTGGTGTTTAACTCAAGTACGGCACCATTCTGAAAACACCATTTGTGGGGCTTTTCTCAGACACATTGTAGCCTAGTACCATTGTAGTCTAATGCCACACAACCACCCAATTTGTAACTCAGGAGATGTTATTGCATAGGGAAATGAAAGGAAAGGAGCAAAAGTCTCACTTGAGCTTTGTTTTGCACACACCATTACAGTGGTACCTTGGTTTTAGAACAGCTTAGTTTATGAACAACTTGGAAATAGAAGGCTGCAAACCCAGAAGTACCATAGGTGTTCTGGTTTGTGAAGTTTGCCTTGAGTGTGTTCCGTTTGTAAATTGAGTCCCCCACTGCTAACCAGAAGCTTCCTGTTGAGTCTGTTGGCTGCACACAACACAGAGGTGATATTTGGAGCTTTCGTTTTTGCTATTATTATTTTTTTTGCATTTTTGTTTGTGCGGCTTTTTCATTTTTTTGACTGTGACTTGTTCTTCGTTTTATGGGACTGACTTGTGACTGTGGCTTGTGACTCCGTTTTTGTGACTTGTTTTTGTGACAGTGTGGAACCCAGTTCAGCTAATGATTGATTGATTGATTGATTGATTGTGCAACTGCGGAAATGGATAAAAGCTCTCCATCCAAACAATGACTATCATCAGTGCACGTAAGAAAATAAATAAATTTTAATTTCTACCATCTACAATACTGTCTTTTTTATAGTACAGTACATTGATTATTGCTTTAATTTTATGGATGAATGGTCTCGTTAGATAGTAAAATTCATGTTAAATTGCTGTTTCAGGGGTTGTTTTTAAAAGTGTGGAACAGATTAATCCGTTTTGCATTACTTCCTATGGGAAAGCGCGCCTTGGGTTTGGAACGCTTTGGTTTTGGAGCAGACTTCCGGAACGGATTAAGTTTGGGAATCAAGGTACCACTGAATAATTTGTGATGCATGTATGAGAGCCATTATGTAAATTCAGC